TCATTTTTTAAAAAATATATATTTTATTGATTTTGTACAGAGAGGAAGGGAGAAAGATAGAGAGTTAGAAACATTGATGAGGGAGAGTCATCGATCAGCTGCCTCTTGCACACCCTCTACTGGGGATATGCCCGCAACCAAGGTACATGCCCTTGACCGGAATCGAACCCGGGACCCTTCAGTCCCCAAGCCGACGCTCTATCCACTGAGCCAAACCAGTTTCGGCTATTCATTTTTTTACAGAGAGGAAGGGAAACGGATAGAGAGTTAGAAACATTGATGAGAGAGAAACATAGATCAGCTGCTTCCTGCACACCCCCTACTGGGGGATGTGCCCGCAACGAAGGTACATGCCCTTGATCGGAATCGAACCTGGGACCCTTCAGTCCGCAGGCTGATGCTATATTCACTGAGCCAAACCAGTTAGGCTGGGACTAGCTTGTGTTTCATTCTGTATCTGTGGAGCCTAGCCCTAAGTGCAGATGTTGGGACCTCTAATCTCCATGGGTAGCACTTCTCATCACTACTACAGAGAAGGGCCAGCTCCACCACTCATAGTCTAATTGCTTTGGGCCAGTTAGGTCTTTGGATGTCAGTTTCAACTGTGAATTGAGCTACCTTTCAGGACTTGTTTCATTCAGTCACCCTGGAAATATTTGTCATACCAGAGATGAGCAAGGTAAGCAAGAATTCTGTCAGGCAAAGCAGTCTGGCGTGGGCACCAGACATGAACTGATGAGTCACAGTCCAGTGCACACAGGCAGCTGCCATGGCGATGGTGCAGGGTGGGGCAACTCCATGGAGTTATGAGGAGCACTGTCTGCTTAACCTGCCTGCTGCTCTCCAGGTGCAATGCTGGGAGCACTCTTTGCTCCAAATTGTTGACTGATGAGTCACCCTCCAGAACCTTGGGAAGTAAAACAGTTAGGGGACCAACTGATCAAGATCAAGGGCCTGGGTGGGGAGGATAGGTGTGGTACATCTCTCCTATATCTATACCCCTCCGTTTTCTCAGCCCCTCATCTCCCCAAAATAGATCTAAGAAGAGGAACCAGATCAAGCCATGGAAGGTTTAGGAAGAAATGAAGTGTAAATTCAGAGCTGAAGGAGTGGAAATTCAAGTCTACATGCAGGAAAGTTCACCCTTCTAAGTGTACAGCTCTACGAACTGTGGTAAACATATACAATCGTATAGTCATAGCTAATATGTAGAACAGTGCCATCACTCCAAAAATCTCTCTAATGAACCTTGTAGTTAGCTCCCTTCACTCATCCTCAGCCTGGCAACCACTGATCTGCTTTTTGTCTCTATACTTTTTTTTGTGTCCCTTTTCCAAAATGTCATATAAATGGAATCATATAGGATGTAGGCTTTGAGTCTTGTTTCTTTCACCAACACAATGCATTTGAGATTCATCCATATTGTTGCATGTATCCATGGTTGCTTCCTTAATATTACTGATTGATATCCCATTGTACTTACATACCACTAGGGGCCCAGTGCATGAATTCGTGCACATTGAAAGGAACTGTGGGCTGCAAGGCTGCAGTGGGCACATGGACGGGTCTTGGCCCATCCTCTGCACCCCTTTTCAGCCCCTCCCACCACAGCCTGGGTCTCCTGTCTGCTGACAGCCTGGCTCTAGCCGAGGCTGCTCCCATGCACTGATGGCACTGGCCCCATTGGCACCCACTGATGGCGTGGAGCAATTGGGGCCCGCAGCAGCAGCAGATGTGAGCGGCAGCTGCTGCCCCAATAACCCTGCAGGAGCAAGGGGAGATAAAGAAGCCCTGAGGGGCGATCAGGGATGGCAGCTGCCACTCGCATCCACTGCTGGCACTGAGCAATTAGACTGGCACCAGGTACTGGGAGTCAGTGCGAGCAGTGGCTCCAGCGCTGGCCATGGGTGTAAGTAGGGCCATCACCGGCAGTGGGTACGAGCAGCAGCCCTGGCTCCGGCAGCGGGTGTGCATGGGGCTGGTGCAGGCAGCAGATGCAAGTGCCAGGTGGGACCTCGGCCAGCAGGAGCAAAGAATTTTCAGTAACCACTAGAGGCTCACCCCGATGACAGTGACTGGAACCCGCCTCGAACTGGTGCCCCACTCACCTGTTCCACCATCCCGCTGTGGTCGATGCCCACCATGTTCTGTGTGCTCTCCTCGGTGGTCAGTGCACATCATAGCGACTATGTTTGGTCTATTTGCATATTAGCCTTTTATTATATAGGATAGCTAGTTTATAACCATTCACCAGTTGGAAGACAATGAGTCATTTCCAATTGGGAAATTATGAATAAATCTGCTATAATTGCATACTGCTTTTTGTATGGACGTATGTTTTTACTTCTCATGGGTAAACACCTAGGAGTGGGATTACTGGGTTGTATGGTAAGTGTACATTTGACTTAATAAGCAGTTGTAAAACTGATTGCTGAAGTGACTATACCACCAGCAAGATATGCATATTCCCCAATGTCCTGTCTTCTTATTGACAGTTACTTTTCTTCCAGCCATTCTGATAGGTAGACAGACTTTTCTACTATAAACAGTGCTACAATGACTACTCATGAATATTCTCTCACACACATCCTTCATAATTAGGTGGGACTGTTTCCATAAGGTACATTCTTTTTGTTGTTGTTGTTAATTCTCACCCGAGGATATTTTTTCTATTGATTTTTAGAAAATGTGGAAGGGAGGGGAAGAGACAGAGAGAGAAATATCCATATGAGATGAGATCATAGGAGAGAGACATCGATTGGTTGCCTCCGGGGCCAGGATTGTGTCTGCAACTGAGGTATGTGCCCTTGATGGAATTGAAGGATCTGTAGGCCAACAACCTACCCACTGAGTCAAACTAGCTAGGGCTGTAAGGTACATTCTTAAAACTAGAATTGGTAGGTCAAAGGGTGTGAGAGGTTGATTAATTATGGCCAAACAGCCTTCTGAGAAAGTGGAGCCAATTTACCAGCCTACCAGCTAGGCATGTTTCCCCACCTCCTACCAACGCAGTGCATTCCTCAATTCCACTGTTTTTTAAATGAAATTGTACTTTAGATGATTGCTGTGTATCTGCTTCATAGAGTTGTTGTTGATGACTTAAAGTGCAGCTTAGAGCAGTGCTTGCCACACAGAGTGGCAATGGCTGTTCATTATTGTATGATTACCACTACAGGTCAATCAATTCCATCTTTGTTTGCTTCTCTCCCTCTCTCTCTCTCTCTCTCTCTCTCTCTCTCTCTCTCTCTCTCTCTCTCATTCATCATCGGTATATTCAGGAGTGCTTTTCTCTGAAGAGCTCAAACTTTCTACCTATAGAATGTAGTTAAACCTTTTACATCTCTTCAGATGCTGGCCAGGAATTCAGGCACCGTGGGTTTTACAGAACAGGGGAGTGTGACAGGACCTTTCTAAGGTAGCAGGACAGATCCGTGTCCCAGGTCAAAATTAGTTTGGAACAGAAATGGATTCCTCTAGGTTACAATGGCTTTCAAACTTTTTGACTGCTACCCACTTTAAGAATTACACCAGGAACCAGAATACACACATATATACCCCAAACAAAAGTTTCAAAAAACAACTTGTTTCCTATTTATTCCATTTCATTGAAAATACGCTCATTGGAATCCACAATAAATAGATTTCAAAAGCTATCTAAAGAGCATTGTTCTAGGATAGAGGTCATAGATATTAACCTTCTTGACAATACAACTGGACTCATAGGACTTCACACTCAGTTTTGGGTACTTTATTACCATTATGCGCATTTCCTTTTCCTTCATTTCCTTGGGATGCTAGAGCTTCTTCATTCATCAATTATTTTTAAAATAGCTCTTGGGCTTCTTACGCATTTGCCTTATAGTATTATTTATCAGTGACAGGGAACAAGCTTTGAAGAGCAAGAGGCCTGCATTCAAACCTCAAGGCCACCCTTTGCTGGTGATTTTGGTGAAGTCTCTTTGGTTATCAAATGCTCAAGTTTTCTCCTATGTAAATTGAGAGTAATCATGGGGGTGGGAATCAATGAACTAATGTGTGTAAAGCATTTAGCACAGTGACAGGCTCCTAGTGAGCCCTTAATCCAGTGGTTTTCAAGGCATGATCCCCAGAGCAGCAGCATCCATGTGTCATCGGGAACGTGTTAGAAATGCAATTCTTGGACCTCACCCCGGATTTACTGAATCAAAACTTGCTCCCGGGTAACCTGTTTTCACAGGTCTTCCAGATGCTTCTAATGCATGCTTAAGCTTTAAAACCTCAGGCTTAAGACAGGGTAACTATTAACAATTAGTAGTTGAGGCTGCAGAGACGAGCAATAGGCAGATCAGGATGTTGTAACCCAGGAGAGACACCTCACTCAGACACAGATAAAAAATGTTTAGAAAAGTGTTTTTATTTCCTGTGCAGGGTCTGCAGCCAACTCGTGCAGGGAAGACGGGACTAGACTGCAGCCCCAAGCTCCAGAAGCCTTTTGCTTATATATAGGCTTCTCATCCTTAGCAAGCAAGCAAGCTACGTGTACAGAAGCGGATATCTGCCTTTAGCCATCAGCAATTCCTAATTATTTTACATTTAACATGTCAGTTCTCCCTTCTTCCTCCCGCCACTGGCCTTACCCCTCTTGTATCAGATAGTGGTCAGTACATTTTGCTTTTAATGAACTTGTTTTAATGAGCTGTGCAGCGGCTGCCGTGCTGGCCTTGTGGCATTTATGGTGCACAGCTGCTGCGCTGGCCTTGTGGAATTTTCAGTCCATAACAAGGAAAGACAGGTACCACCAACCGCCACAGGTAAGGGCTCAGACCTGCCAACCTGCCGCAGTCCCCGTTTCCCCTCCCTCCTTCCTGCTCCCTCCTTTCTCTTCCGCCGAGCGGTCCAGCGCGCTCGCTGATTGTTGGGGTTTCAGGACAGTCCCCGCCCACCCAGTCGCGTCAACTGAGAGGGGCGGGGCCAGGCTCGGCGAGAGCGGCGCATTGATTGGCTACAGACCATGCCGCGGCGGGGCGGGGCCGCGCCCCTGGCGGCCGTTAAAAATGGCGACTGTCACCGAGCTGAAGGCTGGTGAGTGCGCGTCGGGAGCTTTCCTGGTGGCATGCAGCCGGTCCGCAGCCGGTGAAGAGGGTGGGTGGAAAGGAGGGCGCGCGGAGAGGAGTCGGCCTTTTCCGGGCGGTCTCCTTGCGTCGCCAGGGCCTGCGCAGCCGGCCGCCGTGGTGGCCGCTGTGGCCGCTGTGCCCAGGACCCCGGAGGGAAGGGGCTGCACGGGGCAGTTTTTTTAAACCCAGAATCTGCAGGTACCTGGGAGGTCTGCAGTCCTGCGCCTTGGACCTCTGGCGCCTTCTTTTTCCGGACCCGCCGTGGCGTGAGCCGTTCACGCGGGGATAACGGTTACAGTCTCCACAGCCATTTCCCTGAGCCATTTCTGCATCCTTACAACCTGGGAGTCGGGGCCCGATTTTCCACCGGACTGGGCGGGGCCTGGCTATTCTGTCTTTTTCAAAGGAAAAAAAAAACCCCACAAAGGCGAGAGTCCTTAACCTGATAATATTTGCACGCCGTTAGTTCTGACGCAGATAGCCAGGCGGGTAGTAGTAATAATAACAGTTACCAGTGATGGAGCCTCACGTGCCAGGCAGGGCCCAGCCTCTGTGTTATGTACTTGGTTCCATTGTGGACAACCCTGTGCCCACTTCATAGATGAGGAAATTGGGGTTCTGGGAGGTGAAATAGCTCGCCCTGAATGATGTAGCCAGAAGGAGGCAGAGTGTGAGAAACAGACAAATGCTGCACCAGAGCTCAGGGCTCAGTCACGGCCTGACCCTGCCCTGCCGCGCTCATGGAACCGGTGCCAGTTTGCAGGGGACGTGCGGATGTCAGAGATTTGGCCGGGAGGGGTTGCACCTCCTGGAGATGAATCAGTCCCCGTTGGGATGAATGTACTTGTGTGGCACATGCCTCGACCGCAAGAACAGCCTTCCCAGAAGTCGCTGAGCCTGCTCCCCAGGAAACACGTCACACACAGCATTGCACACCACTTCAGAGGAGATAGATGCTTAGGGATACACACCAGGTTATGGACCTGCCTCTGAAGAAGGACCGGTTCCTGAATGAATTAAGAAATAAAAAAGGAAAGAGACCAAGAGGCAGAAATAGATCCAAAAGAAAGAAAGAAATAAGTTTGCTGGGTGGAGGCTGTCACTCTGATAGGGGGACAGTCAACACCCACCACAGACAACACAGCGCATTTATTGATTTCCGGGGGAGGTGGGGGGGTTTAAGGTCAAAAGTTTTGGGTGTGCCCAGGTCCTATTCATTCCCTCATTCCTGGGATTTAGCATATCAATACCTGGGTAAGTCAAGATCCTATTTGTTCCTCATTCCAAATCTGTACTGATAAAAGTCTCTGACATTTTGGGAGGCTGTTTGGGGTGGGGTGGGGGGGCGGCCTTGCCAGTCACCTGGGACTCAGCTCACATTAATTTAAAGGTCATCCATGTGCATTCCCAAGGGGCCCTCTACAATTAGGGACAATTTGAAAAAAAAAAAAAAAAAAAAAAAGGTTGTAGACTCCTGCAAGTGATGGTGCCAATTCAGCCATATGCCTTTACTATCCATACTAATATTTATTGCTAAATTTCATTATCACAACTACTGATATTTGTTATAATGACTCTTGTTCATCAAGAAGTTAGATTACATTGAGCATATATATCCTTGATTTCTCAAGATGGCAGTGATAAACTCTGTGTTAGATTTCTAACTAGGCTTAAAATTTCAAAATCCTTTTGTTTTAAGGAATTAATGCACAATTGTCATTAAAAAAACAGACAAAAGAAAATATCCCAAACACAAAACCCACCTTTTCACTTAGAATGAACCATTTCCCAAGAGTTCTGGATAGCAAAGGTTTTTATACAAAAGGCAGGGCACGTTCCTTCTATGGAATGTACTTATAATCTTTAATCATAATTTTTCTGGGCCAGAGGTTTTTAGGGACATGCAGAACCTGTCTGCAGTGATAAATATTTTTTTTAATTTATTTATTTATTTTTACATATTTTATTAAATTTTTTTTTTGCTCCCTTCCCTCCCCCCCATACATCTCCTCTCTCCCCAGAGTTTTGTGTCCATTGGTTGTACTTATATGCATGCATACAAGTCCTTCGGTTGATCTCTTATCTCCTCCAGCTCTTCCTCCCCTCCCTGCAGTTATTTGACAGTCTCTGTCTCTTGGTTCATCAGTTTATAATGATCTTTATCATCCACCAATGAGTGAGGTCATGTGGTGTTTCTCCTTCATTGATTGGCTTATTTCACTCAGCATGATGTTCTCCAAATATTTTAGAAAATATATGAGACACTGGAGGGTAAGTTCAAGTCCTTGTGTGCTGACTAGTTCTTCTCCCCGCCCCTCCTTTTTAAAAATATATTTTATTGATTTTTTTACAGAGAGGAAGGGAGATAGTTAGAAACATCAACTAGCTGCCTCCTGCACGCCCCCTACTGGGGATGTGCCGGAAACCAAGGTACAGGCCCTTGACCGGAATCGAACCTGGGACCTTTCAGTCCCCAGGTGACGTTCTATCCACTGAGCTAAACCAGTTTCGGTTTCGGCTCTATTCCCCCTTTTTTTCTCAACCAGGAATGTGACTTGAATTGGTTTAAATACATTAAAGTAGTGCATCATTGCAACTTGGGAACCTTATTTTTTATTGCAAACATGGCTTGTGATAGCTAATGTGATCATTGTGCAGTTCACCACAGTGTTTAGATTGAAGGCTGTTGTTAGGTCATTTACCTTTTAAACCATTTTCTTTAAAGTAAGCTTAAGAATGACAAAATTTACTCTATAACTGAAGCGTTGATGTTTTATATTTAACAGTTTTAAAGGACACCTTGGAAAAAAGAGGAGTCTTAGGGCATTTAAAAGCGAGAATTCGAGCCGAAGTTTTCAAAGCCCTAGATGATGAAAGTGAACCCCGACCAACATTGTCTCATGAAAACCTTCTTATTAATGAATTAATTCGGGAGTATTTGGAATTCAACAAATATAAGTATACATCGTCTGTCCTCATTGCAGGTAAGAGGTATCGTTAGTCATGTGAGGCAAAATCTGCTTTTTGCCTTCCACCAATTCTAAGTATTTAGCCTGGAAATCTAATTCCATTATAAAACAGTGAGACTAGGACATAAAATCGTCTGAGTGATTAGGACACATAAACCTACTTTTGCCCCACCCTGTACATACTTGAATTCCCTTAAGGTTTTTTGTGTGTTTTTAGCCTTTTTTAGAGAGGGAAGGAATGTTTCAATTGCCTCCGAAACATTTCCTAATCAGGGATCAGACCTGAAACCTGGGTATGTAACCTGACTGGGAATCAAACCCACAACCTTTTGGTGTATGAGAGATGCTCCCACCAGCTGACCCACATTTCAAGGGCTAATTCCCTTAAGGTTTAATCTATGCTTTAAAACTATTTCATGCCTTAAAGTTCTCATTAAAGAAAATAATTCATAAAGTAGATTTTTGGAAGAGAGAATGAATTCAATTACAGATCTTTTATTTAATATTAAGCATGTTTTAACTGAATAAAAACTGATTATTTTTATTGGCTTAAGGAACTTTAATATCAGTATCTCCACTTTCCTCCCTTTTGTTATAGATGTTTGGATAATACCATTAATAATACTCAATAAAGAAGAACATTATGAAAATATCATTAATTACGTGTCTTGGACTTGAGCTTCCCTAGAGTGAAATACAGTGACAGTAGTCAAGTTTCATATTAAATACCTTGGCTTTTTTTTTTTTTTTTAAATATATTTTATTGATTTTTTACAGAGAGGAAGGGAGAGAGATAGAGAGCCAGAAACGTCGATGAGAGAGAAACATCGATCAGCCGCCTCCTGCACATCCCCTTCCGGGGATGTGCCCGCAGTGAATGTACATGCCCTTGACCGGATTCGAACCCAGGACCTTTCAGTCCGCAGACTGACGCTCAACCACTGAGCCAAACTGGTTTCGGCTACCTTGGCTTTTTTAAAAAATTGAAATATTTGCAACGTATGATATTCAACTTCTTTTCCTACCCCTCTTGTTATCTCTGACCTCTTGTTATCTCTGCCTATCATTTGCCTTTTCCAGAATGTCCTATAAATAGAACCATATAGGATGTAGACTTTGGAGTTGGCTTCCTTTCATAGCACAATACTGTCGACTTTTTTTTATTTTCCTGAATAGCATGCCATTGTGTCAGTTGATAGACATTTGGCAATTATGAATCTAGCTGTCATAAACATTCACAAAAGGTTTTTGTGTGAACATAGGTTTTAGTCTCTCCTAGATAAAGAGGTAAGAGTGGAATTGCTGGGTTATGTGTTGTAAGTATATGTTTACCTGGATAAGAAACTGCTCAACTATTGATAGTGCCTGTACCATTTTTGCTCTTCTACTAATAAAGTATGAGGTTTTCAGTTGCCCTATATCCTTGCCAGCATTTAATATTTGGGTTAATTTTATTCTTAGAATTATTGCCACCAAATGGATATTGGTACTGTCATGTGTTGAATTCACAAAAACAGACTGCTGAAGCCTAGTATTGCAGAAACAGTATTTCCCTAACCAAAAATTACACTTGATCTTAGCCAAAAGGCCGAGAAGCGATCCTAACCAAAAATTAGATTTAAAATGAGTTTAGATGAAATCACCCATATTAAGCTATATATTTAACAAAATAAATTGAAAGTCATAAAAGCATAAGTTGGATCTGCCATCATTATTTTCCAAAATCTGAAAAATGTGTATATCTGGTAAGTATGTATCAAAATCATGTTTACTTTTTAGATCGATAAAGACTCAGCGTTTTCATAATTTTTTCCCCCTAGAATCTGGTCAACCTGTAGTTCCACTGGACCGGCAATTTCTCATCCGAGAACTAAATGCATTTGAAGAATCAAAGGATAACACAATGTAAGAACCTATTTTTAAAGTAAACTTTCAGATATTGTTGTATTAGAGTCACAATCTCATAGTGGTGGTTTTATTTCATTTTAATCCAACAGGTATTTATTTGGATCTAGTGTTTGTCTAGCACTGCACCAAATCCAAGGTAGGCAGCAATAAATGGGTCAGAGGAGGCCTCTGCTCTCTGGAGCTGAAATCCCCGTGGTTTCAGAGGACTGGATAGCCCCACCCCTTTCTAAGGGGCACTCCTCTTGGTTTCTTTTTTTTTAATATATTTTTTTATTGATTTTTTACAGAGAGGAAGGGAGAGAGATAGAGAGCTAGAAATGTCGATGAGAGAGAAACATCGACCAGCTGCCTCTTGCACACCCACCCATTGGGGATGTGCCTGCAACTCGGGTACATGCCCTTGACCGGAATCGAACCCGGGACTCTTCAGTCTGCAGACCGACGCTCTACCACTGAGCCAAACCGGTTTCGGCTCCTCTTGGCTTCTTGATCCATCTTTTTTCCTTCTGTTGCTTTTGCTCTATCAATCATTTTCTTCTTCAGATTTAACTTGCCATCCCCATAGCTTCCTTCATTTCAATTTAGTTACGTACTCAGATTTCCCCTCTCCAAAAAAAGAGAACTGTCAATGTCCAAACCCAAGCTACTGTTCAATCTCCATTTTACCACTTAACTTAGTGAAATAGCAATCTTCTGCTTTTTAGTATCCACTCTGTGGTCTTCCTTGCATCTTAAATTCTCCCCACACCATTTACGAAAAACTATGCTCTTAAAAAGAAGAACAACCACTTTCTACTAATTTCTTAGTTATCTTCTTACTTCAGTGGTAACATTTTCCAGAGGATCCATAAATGTTCAAAAAAAGAAAAAAAAAAAAAAAAAAACCATACTACTATAGGCACCTGGGAACATAGCTCAAAGCAGTTTTTTCCTAGCAAGGAATTGCTCTAAAGTAGGGGTGTCGAACTCAATCAGAGAAGGGGCCAAAATCTAAAATCCAGCCTAAATCGAGGGCCGAATGGTTTACTGAACAGTCATAAACTGCCATTGTGATGGAAACGCAGCGGAGTGCAGTGATGACAGCGCGGTGCGGGCCACATTGCAAGGCCTGGCGGGACGGATTTGGCCCGCGGGCCTTGTGTTTGACACATGTGCTCTAAAGTCTTATGCTATGTTTTCTCTTTCAAAAAATACATTGAATTTTTTTCATCTTACTTGATGGTGGAATTATTTTGCCATAAAAATATTTTAAATGGCATACCAATTAAAATGAACTCTTCCACAAATCTTTGTATGAAATGGTTCCAGGATCATTTGCCACTTTTATCCTGTAGTTTGTACAAAGTCACTCCTTGAGTTTCTGCAGTCTTTACTAATAATAATTTCACTCTTCCTTAAGACATTTTTTTGTCATAAGATGTTTTGTCTTTTGTGACCCTTTACTGTCTTGATTTTTCCTGCCTCCCTAATGGTGTTATCAGTGTCTTTATTGGTTCCTTTGGGGTTCCTTTCAGGCGTCTTCAAACTACGGCCCGCGGGCCACATGCGGCCCGCAGAGGAGTCTGATCCGGCCCGCCAGGTTTTTTGGGCAGTGAGCGCAGCCGAGGTGTTACAGTAGGAATTAGTAGTTCATATAGTCCGGCCCTCCAGCTCTCTGAGGGACCGTGATCTGGCCCCCACTTTAAAAAGTTTGAGGACCCCTGCTTTAAATCGTGGGCACTCCCCAAGTTTTGTCCTTTTCTTCTTGTCCTGCTGCCCACTTTTCTAAGTATTCTTTTAAAAATATATATATTTTTATTGATTTCAGGTAGGAAGGGAGAGAGATGGAAACATCACTGATGAGAGCTAATCATTGACTGGCTGCCTCCTGCATGCCCCCTACTGGGGATTGAGCCTGCAACCCAGACACATGCCCTTGGCCAGAATTGAACCCGGGACCTTTCAGTCCACAGGCTGATGTTCTATCCACTGAGCAAAACCAGCTAGGGCTTTCTAAGTATTCTTGAGTCTTTAATGATATCTCCATGCTGATGACTCACACAATGAAGGCGCAACGCTATAATAACCTAGTCTCTAAAGTTGCAGAGTGCTGTTATTTAAAAAATATATTTTATTGATTTTTTACAGAGAGGAAGAGAGAGGGACGGAGAGTTAGAAACATCGATGAGAGAGAATCATTGATCAGCTGCCTCTTGCACACCCCCTACTGGGGACGTGCCCACAACCAAGGTGCATGCTCTTGACCAGAATCGAACCTGGGACCTTTCAGTCTTCAATTCGACGCTCTATCCACTGAACCAAACCGGTTTCGGACAGAGTGCTGTTACTTAAACGAGCTTGATTCATTACAAGTGAGTTTAGCCCACACTCAAGGGGAGGGCAGTTAGGCATGTCATAATTTAAATCATCACACCTATTAATAAGTAAGTAAATATCTGAAAAAACTCAATCCATTAAATTTTGTTTTCAATGATGAGATTAGAAATGAAGGAAAACATTTATTGTACCTCTATTGTCAGCAGGGCAGCTTCTTTTTGTGCAAGAGCAGGAATATAAATCCCAGGCAGCATATTGAAAAGAGTTTGTGACTTGGAGTTTAGGTAAAAAGTTCGTTTACTTACTAGCTGAGGGATTTCTAGCAAATTAATTTTGAGCTGTGGTTTTCTCATTAGTTGGAGATGATGATTATGACATCACAAGGTGAGGGTAAACTGAAAAGAGGCAGAAATGTTTTGTAAACTAAAGTAGCTTTTTAAATATTAATTCTTACCCAACTCCCATGTAGCTGACATTTACATATCATTTAATATGTGCCAGGCACATTTTTAAACACCTGACATTTATTAACTCATTTGGTCCATAATAATCCTATAAGAAGGAAGGGTTTAACTTACCCTCATTTACAGAGAAAGAAACATTTATGAGACTGGGACATTAAGAATATCTATGCCCAACCGGTGTAACTTAGTGGTTGAGCATCAGCCTATGAACCAGAAAGTAACAGTTTGATTCCCAGTCAGGCACATGCCTGGATTTTGAGCTCAGTCCCCAGTAGGGGTTGTGCAGGAGGCAGCCAATCGACAATTCTCTCTCATCATTGATGTATCTATCTATCTATCTATCTATCTATCTATCTATCTATCCCTCTTCCTTCTTCTCTGAAATCAATTTTTAAAAAATCTTTCTGAGATCAGATGGCAAAGGCAGCATGTCTCTTGGGACATAAGACCTTCTCTCGGCAAGGATTATTAATGCAAGAAGAGTTTATTGAATAACTGTTGTGTATTAGTGATTATTAGGTACTGAAAAATTTTATACTGGATTTTGGAGCTTAAAAGCCGAATTCCTCCTCTGTATTGATTGAAATTGTATTTCAGTTTAGATGCGATTTAAGGTGTTAACATTTTCTCCCTGGGTTTTAAAATCATCTTTAGAGTAAAATAGCACTTTTCAACTTAAAAAGCATAAACAGTTTACAATTTGTATAATAACCATGCAACCTTATTTTATAAGCCTAGTGAATTACTTGGCTATTTTAGTGTCAGAGGCTACCTTTTAAAGCATAGTTTTAAGTTTTTCCTTTTCGTGCAAATTTAATTGATTTTGGTTTTCTTCCTCTATAGACCTCTTTTATATGGGATTTTAGCTCACTTTTTGCATGGAACTAAGGATGGCATCCAACATACATTTCTGAAAGGATCTTCACTTCAGCCTCTAAACCCAAATCCTGGTGGACAACCTAGTGGAAGAGAACAAATGGGTATGAGTTTTCGGAAATTTATCATTTAGCTGTTAGCAAGGATATTTCCTTCTTATATATTTTTATCTTTGGAATAGATTTTTCCAAGCTTTTGAGCCATAGTTTAATTCCACTTAGATCTACTATAGTTTTAACCCATGTTGTTTATCCTCCAAAAAAACCAAAAAGCTTTTTTGGAAAGAGAATCTTGGGAGAAGGCGGGTGAATGACTGGACAAAGTTTTTACGTATAATTTCTCTATAGAAGTATTGAAAAACCTGAATTTCATATAAATTTGTACTTTCTGGAGCAGCTTAGTTCTTAGCATACTGAATAAATAGCTCTCTATAGAATCATCACTGTTTTCCCCCTAAGACTAAAAAGAGGGGAAAATGTTGAATACAGATAGAGAAGTCACAGGTTTATATGTCCTTTGCATTTTCAGGATACCTTTTGTGGTACAGTGGCAGGTATCTACAAATAAAATCTTAGGAGAAAGAATATATTTCTTTGAGAATGCAATGAGCTTGTTTTTTATTATTTAAATCAGCAGTAGGACCTCAATTTGGTAATCTGAACTAAATGGTTTAGAGCTCACTGTCTTATTGTGAGAGAGAGTTGATCTCTATTTTTATTATTTATTTATTTATCTATTTATTTTAATATATTTTTTAATTAATTTTTTACAGAGAGGAAGAGAGAGGGATAGAAAGTTAGAAACATCGATGAGAGAGAATCATCGACCAGCTGCCTCTTGCACATCTCCTACTGGGGATGTGCCCGCAACCAATGTTCATGCTTTTGACTGGAATCGAACCCGGGACCTTTCAGTCCGCAGGCCGATGCTCTATCCACTGAGCCAAACCAGTTTCAGCTTGATCTCTACTTTTAAAAAGGTCAGGTGGGCCTGGCCAGTGCTGTTTAGTGGTTGAGTGTCAACCCATGAATAAGGAGGTCACAGTTCTATTCCTGGTCAGGTCACATGCCTGGGTTTGGGCTCAATTCCTACCCTGTTTCCCTGAAAATAAGACAGTGTCTTATATTAATTTTTTTCTCAAAGTTGCGCTAGGTCTTATTTTCAGGGGATGTCTTATTTTCGGGAAACACTGTAGTAGGGGGCATGCAAGCAGCAGCCAATCAATAATACTCTCTTATCATGAATGTTTCTATCTCTCTCTTTCCCTATCTTCTTCTCTCTAAAACCAATACAAAATTTAAAAATAAGTTTAAAAAAACAAAGGTCAGATGGGTTTCAGACAGCTGATTATCAAGATCAAAGTCTTGACCAATCACCGGAAGTCAGTTCTGCAGTCAGTGTTGTGGGCACTTCAGTGACCCAGCACTGACTGCCGAGGGGGCTGCGATCAGGCCTGGAGAGAAAAGCAGGGTCTGATTGCAGTCCCCGTGGCAGTCAGTGCTGGGTTGGCGTGGTGGAAGTCAGTCCTGCAGTCAATGAACATAGGGTCAATTAATAACTTTGAGAGGGTTGAGAATATAAAGTACAGTGTAGAACAATTACTTATATTATGTCACATAAAACTCTTTTCAACTAAGATTTTTTCCTTAAAATGTATCTTTATTGTTGCAAGTATTAAAGATGTCCCTTTGTTTTTGTTTTTATTTTTTCCCATTGATCTCCTACACCCTGCCCCCAGCCCTTCCAGGCCTTCGCCAGACTATTGTCTGTGCCCATGGGCTATTCCTATCCAATACATAAAAATCTAGAAAGATTTAGAGAAAATAAAAGGAAATATATGCCAGGTAAATATTGAACAGAAGAGCTGAAGTTGCTGCATGAATACTGGATACAGGCTTGAAGCCAAAACACAACTCATGAGATAAAGTTAGTCATTGTAACATAACAAAAGATTCCTTTCACTAAAGAAATAAGATGGTTCCCAATACTTACACACATAATAGAACAGTGTGTGGGTTCAGAATGAGCCTCACCAGGATGTGTCTCAGTGGTATGCAGATTTTTGAGCTAAGTGCAATTTTAGCTTCAGGTTCAACTGAAAATCATGCCCCTCCCTTTAACTACCTAAAAAAAATTGAATTAGAGGTCTTACCCATAATTAGACATTATCCTATATAATAAAAGGCTAATATGCAAATCAACCAAACAGCAGAATGACTGTTTGCTATGACACGCACTGACCACCAGGGGAAAGATCTCAATGCAGAAGCTGTCCCATGGTGGTCAGTATGCTCCCAAGGGGGAATGCCACTCAGCCAGAAGCCTGGCTCATGGCTGGCTAGCACAGCAGCAGTGGTGGGAGCCTCTCCTCCCTCTGTGGCAGCACTAAGGATGTCCAACTGTTGGACTGTGAGAGAGTGCAGTCTTGGCTGAGGGGCCTCCTCCCTCCGAGTGCACAAATTCCGTGCACCGGGCCTCTAGTATATATATAAAACCCTAAGCAATGGTCAACCGATCGATCATTTGACTGGTCACTTTGACATGCACTGACCACCAGGAGGCAGTTCCTGCTTTGAGCAACTGCTCCCTGGTGGTGAGTGTGTTCCCACAACAGGAGCAACACTCAGCTGACCAATGGGCACCAGACGCTGGGCTCACGACTACAGCCTTTCCCGCCTTTCCGCAGTGCTACCTACCACAGTGGTAGGCACAGCAGGGCCAGGCTGAGCAGGAGCAGCACAGCACCTGGCGCTGGGGTTCAGGCTCCTCCCTGGCAGGCTGCCTGCCCCTTACATCTCATACCAGCAGTCCAAATCCCCTGAGGGGTGCCAGGCTGAGGGACCCCACATGAATCCGTGTACCAGGCCCCTAGAGTTAAATATTAGCTAAAGATGTGAAAGCTGGTGGCCTTTTGAGGCTATTTCTGACTTTACTAGGACTTATTTTTCTATATATCTTAGATTTCTGAGCTTATAGAACACTGGAAAATAAATTATTCCCAGCTACTTATTTACATTAGAGAAAACTAAGAGTTTTATGAGCTCATAAGAGTTCATTTATGCCTATAGCTGATCATTTTTAGCAGCATCAGCATTTTTAGAAAAATATTTTTTATTGATTTTCCACAGAGAGGAAAGGAGAGAGAGAGCTAGAAACGTCAATGAGAGAGAAACATCGACCAGCTGCCTCTTGCACACCCCCTACTGGGGGTGTGCCTGCAACCAATGTACATGCCCTTGACCGAAATTGAACCTGGGACCTTTCAGTCCGCAGACCGACGCTCTATCCATTGAGCCAAACCGGTTCGGCAGCATCAGCATTTCTGATTGGCATTCCTGTACACGTTATCATTTAAAGAACATGGGGTTTTCCTAGTTCCCTTTTTAGGGATTGAATAAGAACTGCTTTTTAGCAGGTACTTCAAAACAAAACACAAGCACATGAGTAAATCTCTAAACATTCAAATAATATAATGTAACATGCCCTTTAATCTCTTCCCTCCTGCTTCTCCCTAACTCCCCAATTACCCTCCCTTCTATAGAAGTTAACTCCATTACTTGGTGGGTATCCTTCAGGACTCATTTCTGTGAATTCAGGTACTGATATGCACTCAAATTGGAACAATACAGAGAGGAGTAGCATGGCTCCTGTGCAAAGATGACACTCAAATTCGTGGAACGCTAACATATTTTTGTTATCCTTTAGATATGAGGGAGAAATAAAGGCTTTTCCAGACAGACACAGCTGAGGGAGTTTATCACCACAAGACCTGCATGACAAGAAATGAAAGGAGTTCTTTCTTCTACATGAAACAAAAAGATAGAAGTATACAAAACTTTGAGTAAGATGACAAACAGAAGCAGGAAATTGCAACTCTATTTCAGAATAGGGTATTAAACACTTAATTATAACATAAAGGTTAAAGGGGAAAGGCATTATTTTAAAAAGCCCTTTGTGCTCTGTAGTTTCCCTGACTGCTCTGGGATTCCAGTGGCAAGTTCTCTCTGTTCCAGACCTCCCTCCTTGGGTTGTATATAAAAACAAGGTTACTAACAGTTAATATGAGAATTTTGCACACCTTCCAAATTATCAGCATCAAAGAAAAACAGATACTGGATAGAAAATCTGCAGGAATAGGCAAGGAATTGATATCATGTGTCTGGGAGGAGTTATGTGGTTAGAGACAGGACTGAAGAAATTCACATCTGTAACCCTTTTATCTTCCTTTTGAAATTTGAACCATGCATTACCACATTAGTATTTAAAAAAACAATTAAACTTTAGAATACAGGAGTGGGCAAAAGTAGGTCAGTATTCTGTGCCAAAGTGTGTTTGAGTATAACAAGTAAACTACAAGAATGTGTGAATGATGAAGGCTGGCAATTTAAGCACCTACAAGATTGTTCCTAAGTGCACTGTACCATCATACATTCTTTTGAGTGAAGAAAGCTATGCAATAATCATAACTTGCATGCCTTTTTCCATATGAACATGTAAACCTACTTTTGCCAATCCCTATATGCACTATCACTATACATATTATTCTGTAATTTGCATTTTTTGTCAATATATGTAGATCTATTTCCCCTTCATTTTTAACTTTTCGTAGTATTCCATAGTGTGGTTAATCACTCTTTACTGATGTACTTTTACTGTTTTTTATTTTTTGCTTTTACAGTATTACAGTGTAGCATTACTTCTTTCTTCACACGGGCATTTCTCATCTGAATGCCTAGAAGTAGAATTGCTGGTTCAAGGCATGTGCGCATTAAAAAATAGTCTAATTTTCTAATTTTTCCCCCCCAAAAACGCTTTAACAGTTTATGCTCACCAAGTATAAGTACCAATACTGGTTTCTCAGTTTCATTGTTACCAGTGGATATTACACACATTAACACTTGTTAACACAGCAAACCTATTTATATTTTCAGTCTAATAAGGAAAAATAGCCTCTTGAGAAATAACTTTTGTGATTTGTAAGCTTTTTATAATCATTCTCTTTAATATGGCTAATGACTAATAAGAAAGTTACAAGTAGTAGAGTATTTCTTACCTCAGTTCTCCTGAGATGAAGGTCATGGATTAACTACTGGTAGCATATACACAGTGGTTAGGGTGGGCTGGGAGGGGTCCTTTCTGTATAAAATGCCAGAGACCCAGAGAATAAAGTTCTAGTCAGTGAAGCTTTGGTGCTTATTCTGTGGAAAGCTCTGTGGAAGGGTCAGAAATGAGGATGACTGCAGAACCAATAGGATAATTATTTTTCTTGATCATAAAAATTTTTCTTGGCCTCTTTATGTAATGACCTCTCTCTTGCTCTTCTTCCCTCTCAAATTAATTAAAAACAAAAAGCACCCACAATATTGATTATGTTCTAATAACATATCTAAGCATTCCATTTATTTTCTCAGCTCTAGCTTACTGTTTAAAGAATACATGTTTCATTTTACAACATGGACAAGATTATGAAGATGTTAAAATACTTAATCTTTTTTTTAATACTTATTCTTTAATAAAATATATTTTATTGATTTTGTACAGAGAGGAAGGGAGAGAGATAGAGAGTTAGAAACATCGATGAGAGAGAGTCATCGATCAGCTGGCTCTTGCACACCTCCTACTGGGGATATGCCCGCCACCAAGGTACATGCCCTTGACCGGAATCGAACCCGGGACCCTTCAGTCCCCAAGCCAACGCTCTATCCACTGAGCCAAACCAGTTAGGGCAGATATTGAGTTTTTTAGGTTCTTTTAACCTAGAACATATCTGCCCTCTCCTTTTCTCTACTGCCCTCCCCCCCCCCCCCCCCCGCCCCCTATGACAAAAGAAACTGAGCAGTGACTGGGGCCTCTTCACGGTGGCGGGAGCACAGGGGGTGGTCACAGAGGCTCTGGCTCCTCTGGACTCTCATGGAACTTGATTGTTTTGGTTTTGGCTGAAGAACTTTTCTACAAGTTCTTGGATAGTTTTCTGATATGCGTAGGAAAATGTAACTTGTGCTAGTTTTCTTCTTGTCACAAGAGAGTGCAGCTGGGAGACATTTCTATTTAAAGAAAGGTTTTTCTTTTTGATTGAAGAGCTTTAACGTCCCTCAAAATGCTAAACACCCTGGCCTTTCTTGTGAATTCTGTTCCTTACATAGAAGAGAAATTTGTAGCTACTTACCAATGGGTTTACTCCAGGGATTGTTACTCTATTCACTTTTTTAAATAGTTAAGAAGCTTTTTGAATAATTAGAGCTTCTAGTACAAACCATTTCTGATTTTTTTCAGTAGTGTTTAAAACGTTGTATTTTGTTTCTTTCATTGTCCTAAGCTGTCCTAAGAGCACAACTTTAAACATGTAACTCACTGAAATATATGTAGCTGTGTCTGTCTACAGCCTATTTTAACTTGAGATAAGCATTGACACTCATTTCTATTAATTTCAGATGACCACCTAAGAAAAGAGAAGGGGAAAAATACTAATATTGAAGATCTTCATATTTCTCAAAACGTGAAGAGATGACATTTCCATTTGGGCATCTTTTATCTTAAAGTTGTATGTATTAAATCACTTATTTATTTTCACATTGCCAAAATGCATCACTAATATTTGTACTTTGTAGAAATTTGAGTGTCTGCAAAAATACTTAGTCTTTCATGCTTTACTGCATTTGTGAATAAAAGTTAACTGTCATCAAGGCTATTGGATTTGACTTGAAAGAAAATGTATTGTTTTTAGGAAATATTTTAAAGGGTCTTAGATGTGAGAAAGGAAAGGGAAAAATGAATGTTAGTACCCTATACATTCTTCTAAAAAAAAAACAACAGGTCTTTATAGTCATATCATCTGCTTGTTAGCATGATACATTAATTACATTTCCTTCAGGCTAGAAGTATGTGGGTTAATAGAAAATTTAAGAAAAGAGCACTAAAGTCAAGAAAAAATCTTTTTTATAAAATTTGATTTTTTTGATTAGCTATTTTTCAGATAGCCATTTATAATTAGATTAAAATATCTGAATTACTACCTAAAATTAAACTTTTAAACTAGGTAACAATGTACTTTTTCTTTCCTTAGATCATTTTGGCTTCTACTGGAAGATTTAATTAAAATCTAAAGGGGGAACTAATTCTTTTAATTTTGCTGTTAGTAAAACAAAGAGTTTATTTGATTACACGAAGAATGTGGAATCAGCATGAAGAGACAGGCTTTAGGAGAAAACCAGAAAGTACCTTTTAAAAGATGGCATTGTCTAACCTCCATGTGGCCTTCAGTTGTGCAATTTTAAGAAGAGTTATGAAAGGGCCAACCCCTAATTATTTGGGCTCTGAAAGTCTTATTAAATGTCAATTTTTATTCTTTGGATAGAAAAACAGTAAGAGCTATCCTAGTGCTATCTCTAAAATGCTGCTTTGATATTTATTAAGATATTTTTATAATGTGAGTCTACAGATTGATTCACTGAAATCTGTTACAGTAGACAGCACCTGACTGGCAAAGTCATTGGTATATTCAGAGCACAACTGCATTGGTGCTGTATACTGACAGCATTTAGCTTAAACATCTTCCATAGGGAAAGTGATGAGGGCTTAATTGGCAAAATTGGCCTTTGGAAATTATTGAAAGTAGATAATATATTTGGTATTAGTGTTTAGTTCTTACTAGGAATTTTTATCTGAATACAGAAAATTATTAAAAGAATCTCATTAAACCATACTTTTACAAGTCAAAGGATTTTAAGAATCCCTATTGGTGGCCTAAAGTCACATATATAGATGTAGAAATATAAGAGTTCATTTCAATTTTTTAAAAATATGTTTTTATTGATTTTTTAAAAGAGAAGGAAGAGGGAGACAAGAAACATCGATGAGAGAGAGACATCTATCAGCTGCCTTCTGCACACCCTACTGAGGATTGAGCCTCCATCCTGGGCATGTGCCCTGATCGGAAATATGACCTGGTTCATAGGTCAACAACGCTCAATCCACTGAGACCACCAGCCTGGCTCATTTCCATTTTTTAAGTGAAATCTGTAGTATCTGATTATAATTGTGAATTCTAATCTATGTGGGACTATAAATATCTGAATTTTTCTCAGAGGATTTGGTTTACATACAAAGAGACACTAAGTTTACCTCAGGAATTGCAATCATCATGCAGCACTATATTAAGAAAAAATGCTGGAGTTTAGCATTTTAGATACTGATGTAAATTTATCAAAATAGAAGCTAAATGGAATTGTCACATGTTGTTCATTGTCTATTTATATGCATTATTCTGTAACTTGTTTGTACCTAGGGAACTTTTATACTTCGATGTATCATTTAATAAAAAAACAACAACATTAAACAACTCACATTTGTGCAGAGGATGTTTGTGTGACTTTTCTGTCACCAGAGATGTAGCTCAGAATCTGGCGAAGGCTCTCCAGGCCTTCCTTTGGAATCTCCAGCAACCTGGTTGTTAGCAGGTGCAGGGCAAGGTTGACGGTGTACGTGTTCTTGGCACCAGCCTTCTCACCTTGAAATAATACCTCTTCATAGAGGGGCAGTGGTGGGACGACAAACCAGTATTACATGAAATGAGTGTTATTTAAGAAGAAGAAAAGATTAAAAATATGAACAATAAAATCTCAATAAATACATATCTATCAGCAATTGAATCTACAAATAAAATGAACAAGCAGAACAGACGCATAAATATAGAGAACTTTTTGTTGGTTACCAGGAGGGAGGGAGGGGGACTGGACAAAAAAGGTGAAGGGATTAAGTAGTACATATTGGTTGTTACAGAGTAGTCACGGGATATTAAGAACAGCATAGGGAATATGTATATAGTCAATAATCTGATAACTTGGGTTTACAGGTAGAGAAACCCAGGGTGTGGTGCTGGATGAGTATGAGATTTATTGGGATGATCACATATTGTTAGGTAATATCTGGTCACTGGGGTGTACAAAAATATTAATAAATACAAATAAATAAAATTTCAGCAAATGGCAGGGCCATATATGATTTTGTTTAGTATTACATCTTTATGTTTGGAAAAGAAAAACACACCTATTTTCAAAATATTATGAGATTTTATGATTACCCACAAAGGAGGATCTTGAGCTAAGAAAAATCTGCTCTAGAAATTTCTGTACTCAGGATTTTTAACACTGTCAAATAATTTATAATCTAGTAGTTTAAAAAGATAAATGGGCTGAGACATTTAAATAAAGGAAAGACAAATATAAATACAGAGGACCCATCAAATTGTTCTCATAAATTCATAAACTGAATTAATATCATTGTTGGGGGTTCCCATGGGATTGTTGGGAGCTGTTATCTTCCAGAAATGCAGGAAAAATGTTGGATTTACACAAAAATAGTATGAGATTGGGACTAAAGAGGGATGTAGGAAAAGGGGAAATTTAGAACTTGGGCAATCAAAGCAGGAGCCGAGTGGCTTTTGAAGATGATAAATTTAAGCTTAGCGTATATGTTTGCATAGAATAAACTAATAGGTTTATAATTATGTGCAAGAACACATTTGTATATGATTCACATGCCTGTATGATTATGTAAAATCTGATGTGTTCTTTTAACCTAAAGCCAAATGTACATGATGGATTAATATTTGTGAGACTATGCCTTTAAAGGCATTTGGGACAATGCTTCCCAGCCACTTGGTATTTTATTTTTGTATTAACTTTTCAAGGATTGCATGTCCTTCTTTAACTTATTTTTAAAATGAAAGAGGTAAAACTACCTTTTTTTTTTTTAACACTTTTTTAGATTCACAGCAAAATTGAAAGGAAGATATAGATTTCCCATATAGCTGGGTCCCCCTGACACCCTCCCCCACAAACATGTATAGCTTTCCCCATCAACATCCTCTACCAGAATGATATATTTCTTAAAATTATCAACCTACATTGACACATCATTATTACCCAAAGTCTATAGTTTACATCAGTGTTCACTGGTGGTGGTGTACATTTTATGGGTTTGAGCAAATGTATAATGGCATGTACAATCCACTATTAGGAGTAATTTCATTGCCCTAAAAATCTCTTCGTTCTGTCTATTCATCCTTCCTTTCCCTCCAACCCTTGACAACCACTGATCTTTTTATGATCTCCATAGTTTTGCTTTTTCTAAAATGTCATATGTTTGGAATCATAGAATATGGAGCCTTTTTGGACTGGCTTCTTTCACATAATCCTATGAATTTAAGATCCCTCCATATCTTTCCATGGTTTGCTAGCTCATTTATTGTTAGTGCCAAATGATATGCCATCATCTGAACATACCACAGTTTATCCACCCACCTACTGAAGAACATCTTTTTAAAATATATATATATTTTATTGATTTTTTACAGAGAGGAAGGGAGAGGGATAGAGAGTTAGAAACATCAATGAGAGAGAAACATCAACCAGCTGCCTCCTGCATACCCCCTACTGGGGATGTGCCCGCAACCAAGGTACATGCCCTTGACTAGAATCGAACCTGGAACCTTTCATTCCGCAGGCCGATGCTCTGTCCTCTGAGCCAAACCAATTCCGGCCTGAAGGACATCTTGATTGTTTTCAAGTTTGGACAATTATGAAGAAAGCTGCTGTTAACCTCTGTGTGCAGGTTTTAGTATGGACGTACGTTTCCAACATTGGATAAATTCTAAGGAACATATTGAAGGTAATTTGCTGGGTCCTATGGTAATACTATCTTGAGTTTTGTAAAAAACTATAAAACTACTTTTATAGAGGATCTGGAGTTACTAGGATACCACATTGGAAATTGGCGAGGAAGGAAAGAGCATTGCAGGTTACTGTGTGAGGTAGCCTTGTACCTGGAGAGGCATGAGGGCTGTCATGGGTGAAACAAGTGCTTTTGTGCAAGAGAGGTGCTGAACAGTTCTCTTGGTGAGGAATGAGGCCCCTTTATTCACAACGAGGCAGAGTTGTGTGTAGATCTTGAGCTGGATGACTTGAGTGCTGATACACTTTTAAATGATTACATTGTGAAGCACATGCAGGAGTAAATTGTGCTTGGATCCAATCTTTGAAAATATTAAAAACTAGCCCTGGCCTGTTTGGCTCAGTGGATAGAGCATTGGCTTGCCGGACTCAAGGATCCCGGGTTTGATTCCAATCAAGGGCACATAGCCTGGTTGCAGACTCAGTCCCTAGTAGGGGGCGTGCAGGAGGCAGCTGATCAATGATTCCCTCTCATCATTGATGTTTCTCTCGCTCTCCCTTTCCCTTCCTCTCTGAAATCAATAAAAAATATATATATATATAAAAAGAAAATATTAAAAACTAGAGGGGATGATACTTTGAAGCTTTTTAAAGCCAGTGGCAAATACAAAACTATTTAGTAAAAGACTCCTAGAGAAAAATTTCTCCTCTGCCATCTTGTTTCATGAGTTCATGGAAAGTCCCATGACATGGCACCTCACAGAAAAGACACGCCAAGGAACCATACTAGACAGTTCTCAGTCGAAATAACATTGTAGAAAAGGTAACTTTTTTTGTTTCCCTCCATCTTTCTTTTTAATATATTGATTTTTTTACAGAGAGGAAGGGAGAGAGATTGAGAGCTAGAAACGTCAATGAGAGAGAAACATCGACCAGCTGCCTCTTGCACACCCCCCACCAGGGATGTGCCCGCAACCAAGGTACATGCCCTTGACCGGAATCGAACCCGGGACCTTTCAGTCTACAGACCGACGCTCTACCACTGAGCCAAACCGGTTTCGGTTGTTTCCCTCAATGTTAAAATAGCTGGATTTTTGAGTTATGAGAGGTAAAATGGAATTATATGATTTAATTATTATTATAAAAATGCACTTTAAAAAAATCCTCACCTGATGATATGTTCATTGATTTTTAGAGAGGAGGCATGGGAGAGAAATACCAATGTGAGAGAGAAACAATGATCAGTTGCCTCCTGTACTGGGGGTGAAACCTGCAACATAAGTATGTGCTCTGACCGGGAATTGAACCCCAAACCCTTTGATGTATGGGACGACGCTCCAACCAACTGTTAGGCCAGGGATAACAATGTACTTTTGAAAATCCAAACATCTGAGCTGCTGCAGTGGGACAGATACTTACTGAGTGACTGCTATGTGCACCTACTGTTCATTTCCCAGAAAACAGCTTCAGAGAGGTTCACTGACCATTCTGAAGTTGCCCGGCTGGTGGTTAGCAGATCATGATTTAAAAACCTCAGACTTGCCAAAACCGGTTTGGCCCAGTGGATAGAGCATCGGCTTGCAGACTGAAAGGCCTTGGGTTCGATTCCGGTCAAGGGCATGTACCTTGGTTGCAGGCACATCCCCAGTAGGGGGTGTGCAAGAGACAGCTGGTTGATGTTTCTCTCTCATCGATGTTTCTAACTCTCTATCCCTCTCTCTTCCTCTCTGTAAAAAAATCAATAAAATATATTTTAAAAAATATTAAAACCTCAGACTTTTGGAGAACATCATGCTGAGTGAAATAAGCCAGTCAATGAAAGAGAAACACCACATGACCTCACTCATTTATGGATAATAAAGAACATTATAAACTGATGAACCAAAAGATAGATATAGAGACAGTAAAGCAACAAGCAGACTGTCAAATTACAGTGGGGAGGGTAGGGAGATCTGGGGAAGATAGATCAACCGAAGGACTTGTATGCATGCATATAAGTACAACCAGTGGACACAAAACTCTGGGGAGGGAGGGCATGTATGGGGGGGGGGGGCAATGGTATAGGTACACAGATAATAATTTAATAAAAATAAATAAATAAAATAAAAATCTAAGACTTTGCATCAGACAAATGGGGTTTGATTTGAATTCCTGCTCCACCTTTAACTAGCTGCCTTAGCTGGTTAAATC